CCCAAGATCTCGTCCTCTCCGTTGACACACTTGGTGATCTCAAGTGTCCGAGGCGACAGCAGAGCCGCCCATTGTCCCAAACGTCCTTGTAAGGCCGTGGATCTAAAGAGCCACGCCAATGTTGAGTGTCGGGTTAACACACGGATCGGACGTCCGACCAACGCATTGTAATTGAGATCCAGGATCCTCAAGAGGGCTAGTACCTCCTTCTCCGCGATGCCGTAGTTCAGCTCATTCGACTTCAGAGTACGGCTTGCAAACGTCACGGGGTAGTAGATCTGTTCATATTCTTGCATCAATGCTCCCGAGATGGCCCAATCGCTGGCGTACACCAGGCCCCCCCCGCTTCGGGTCAAAATGTCGTAAGATCGGGGTGGTAGCGATCCTGGTTTTGAGCACATTGAAAGATCGGTGGGCATGGATCCAACGTGGATCTACCTCCATAGGATCAGGCGTCTCCGGATCCAAGGTTCTTCGGTGGGCGACATCCCGATCTTCCTGTGATCTTGGATCTACGTCTTCGGCTTCCAGTATTTGTTGGATCCGCCCTTGAGTCGGCTCTTTCGTCATCACAGCAAAGTCGATTTCTCGCAATTCATACAGAACCGACGCGTAGATCGCGTAGGAATCGGCTATAATAGTTCAGACTCCCCAGAAATGATTGCATAGCTTTGAGTGATCCTGGAATAGCTAGATCAGTTAATGCAGACAGGTCTTTCGGATTCGCCTCCAGTCCTTTGTGCGAGGCCTTATGTCCAAGGTATTCCACCTTGGACATCCCCCAGAAACTTTTAACCACGCTGATCGACAGGTTCCATTTGTCACATACTTCGAGCAACCTCTCGACTCGATCACATAGTTGGTCCCAACTATTAGCGGGGATCAGGATGTCATCGATATATGATCTGCGACCAAGCACCGAAAGACTGCCTGGATCCACCGGTTCCCCGCCCTCATATACATCCGCAGTACTTCCGTGATCTTCAGACTTCGGGATCCGAGTGAACCCATATAGCGCGTTATCGATCATACGTTGATAGATCTGGGGCGCATTCTTCAGGCCAAAAGGGATTCGATTCCACTCAAATAGTCCAAAATGAGTGATAAAAGCCGAGATCAAACGAGCACGATCTGTCATTTTCACTACCCAAAATCCACTTGCCATACCCAAAGAACAGTACCAAAGTGTCGACTCCAGATCTTCGAGTAGATCGTTGATCAAGGGCATTGGGTATACCATCAGTTGTGCCAGGCTATTAACCAACCGATAATCGATACATAGCCTGATGTCCACCCCATTCTTCTTAATGATCACCACAATGGGGGAAGCCCATGGTATGGGGAAAGCCCATGGTGATCTGAAATAGTTGATCATCTTGGCGGACAATAGACCCTTGATCAGATCTGCTAGCTTCTCCCTGAAATGGATCCGCAACTTACGGCACTTAAGGGCGATGGGTCTCGCTTCCCCGACATCGATATCGCACACCACACCTCTAGCTGCCGGCGGAAGGGCATTTCCTTTCCCGGTCAAGAGATGTCGGAACTTCCAAATCTTCTGGCGGGGTCGCTCGACTTCCTCTGGAGCTTGATTATCAGATTCACATAGTTGAATATACTCGATCTTCACATCCTCCGTCGTCACGGGTACTTCGGGCAGCACCGCCATCTGACCATCGACATCTTCGGCGTATAGATCGCTTCCTTCATGGTAATACACGCATTCATCAT